GAGGGGGGTGGGGAGGAGGTGAGGATCCCATGACCCCAGGATCATGACCTGAGCTGAAGGCAGACACTTAAGTGACTGAGCCACCCAGGCGTCCCTTCCCAATGTATTCTTAAAAGACAAAAGTAAGGTACCGAACGCTGTGAATGATATGCTGTCATGTGTGTAAAAATGGGGGAAATAATGTATTTGAAATACACCATTATTTCTAGAAGGATACACATGAACCTGGTAAGTTGGTTACCTTATTCGAGGCGGACTAGGTGGCTGGTGGACAGGGGTGGGAGAGAGATTTTTCTCTTTATATCCTGTCTACCTTTTGAATTTTGTACTAAGTCTTTAAATTCCTATATTTCTTATCTAAAAGTAGAACTTCTTTTTTTTTTTTTTCGGTAAACCTAAAACTGCTCTTAAATATAGTCTATTAGTTAACAAAAAAGTATGTCTCCAAATGAGTTGAAAACTTATTTGGCTTGCACAAAATATTTATAATTCCCCCAAATTGGAAACTATCAAGATGTTTTTCGGGAGATGAATGGATAAATAAACTGTGAATATTATTCCATACAATGGAGTATTATCCAGTGATAAAAAGAAATGAGCTATGAAGCCATAAAAAGACATGGAGGAACTTTAAATGCTTATTGCTAAGTAAAAGAAGCCAGCTTAAAAAGCATACATAATGTATGATTCCAACTATATGACTTTCTGGAAAAGGCAAAATTAGAGAGATAGTAAAAAGCTGAGTAGTTTTCAGGGGGTGTAGAGAGGAGGGAGGAAGGGATGAATAGGTGGAACATGGGGGATTTTTAGGGCAGTGAAGATACTCTGTACGATACCATGATGATAGCCACATGACATTATGCATTTGTCCAAACACGCCAAGAGTGAGTCCTAACCTAAACTCTGGACTTAAGTAAATAGTAGCATATTAGCTTTGTCCATCAGTTGTAATAGATGTAATACACCAATCAATGCAAGAGGTTGATAATAGGAGAAACTGCGCCTGGGAGTGAGAGAGAGTATGTGGGAACTCTTTGTACTTTCTGGTTAATTTTTCTATAAACCTAAAGCTTCTCTAAAAAACAATCTATTAATTTTTTAAAAATAGAATTTCTAATTACCTTGAACCTGAAGAAGACCTGCTGCCTCTGCTTGTGGGGTTGTAGTTGTGAATGGGGTGGGGAGCGTGGGGAAACTTGTTCACCCTAAGGCTGGTGGCCCTGAGTGTTGCCATGGGCAGTGGCTTTGGCACAGCCACAGTGGTTTTCCGTGAGACTATTGCAGGAGAAGCAGCAAGAGCTTTATGGGGAATGGATAGGCAGGCTGGAGATTCTTGGGCTTCGAATGTCAGAGGAGTTTGGCTTTGATCCTATAAGCAATAGGGAGCTATGGAGAATTTTATCAGGAGAGTGCCATGGAGAGCTGTGCTTCAGGAGTCCAGGTGTCAGAATTAGTTTTGCCCCTTCTTTGGGCCTCATGCCTCTAACTGTAAAACCAGGAGGCTGCACTAGGTAATTGGAGAGGTCATCTTCAGTTCCAAGGTTCTGACAGCAAAGAGCTTTTCCTGACTCTCCAAACCCCTTTTCCTCCCTGCCCCACCGGCTTTTAATTTTTCTGCTGCTCTGTGCTGTACTGTGGCTCGAACCGCCCCCTGGGGGAAATGTCTGCTGAATGGAGTCTGAGCCTTGGGAGCAATTCTGTTTTATTTTATTTTTGTTGCTCCTTTGAAATCTTCAAGGAGAAAACCCAAATCTGTGCCAGCTCCAAGGAGGAGCAACTTGGAAGGGAGTTAGAAATGACGAGATGGGTAATCAAATCCTTTCAGGGTTCCAGAGCACGGGCAAGCTGCAGTCGGAGATCCGGCCAGGACCGTTTCCTGCTAGAAGGATTTGTTTGACTCTGAGCTGGCCAAGTTGCAGGAAGGTTCTATGCACGACCCAGCCTGGAGGCTCCAGCTGGTGGTATGAATTGGGGGAGATTCTCTGCTCCTTCCAAATCTTCTCCTGTCATCATAGTGTGATTTATGAGCTTTTCCTCTAAAATATGAGAACACTGGCTCCTGATTATGCCCTGTAAAGCAGGAAAGCAGTGGCTGCAGCATTTCTGATTAATAATTCTCTTTAGACCACCATCTTGTCACAAAAAGGATACAAGAGGTTGAATACAGATGGATTAAAGTCTTTTAAAAAAAATAATATGTTCTCAGTCTAGTTAGGTATTTGGAGGGTGGTTGCTGCCATCTGAGGGATCTGGGCTTGATTCCTAGATTAATTGCAACACACCAGCTGTTATGAACAGAGGCTGCTTACCTTTGAGCCTCTACCTCCTCATCTCTGGGGGGAGAGTGGGGAACACTAGTAGCACCTGCCTTATGGGGGACAGATGATGTGAGATAAATATGCAAAGAAGTCAGCACTGGGCCTGCAACAAATGATGGACTCCATAAATGCTAGTGATTACTACTAAGATTATTTTGAGTCCCAAATAGTAGATGGTCTGAAAGTAATTTGAAAAATATTTGGAAAGTATTTTTATAACTATGTATTGATATGGTAGGGCTTGCCCTTTGGGGAATGATGGCATCTCGATCCAATTCAACACGTAGGCCATGTCATAGGCATACCTGTGTAGCTTGTTACAGTTCAGGGAACAAAATGTGACCTTGGACAAGTTCCTGATTGTAGTTTACACAGAGCTGTGCTTTCTTCCTCTGTAAAAATGGATAATAATGTCATGTTGTAAATGTGTGTGTGTGTGTGTACAGTGTGGTGTGTGGTGTGTGGTGTATGGTATGTGTGTGGTGTGCTGTGTGTGGGGTGTGGTGTATGGTGTGTGTGTGTGTGTGTTGTGTGGGGTGTGTATGTTTGTGTCGAGCGAGACTCCCATAATCACAAAACTTAATATCCTTGGGTAAAAGCACTTGGTAAAAATAAATAGTAATTTGCTGTACAGATATTGATTTCCTGATGATCTATTATGTGCGGGGAAAATCCACCTTCAGAGCTTAAATTTCATTTGAGGAGCTAAGGTGGATATGACATACGTTCATGAAAGAATTGAAACAATGGCAGGAGGCAGTCAGAGACAAACTGAAGTACCATGGGAGTTCACAGTAGGGCTGGGAGGGTCAAGCAGTCCAGGACTCCCTGGGAGGAACAGTACTTGACGTGGGCTCTAAAGCAGTTTTTAAACTTTTTTGCTTGCCTACCCTCTAAGTGAACTCAGGGGGAAAAAAACTCTCTTGCCTCATACATTTTAACTTGACATCTGAAATGTTTCATTATAAGTAGTCACAGAGGATATCATTTCTACCATATTGTAAATATTGATCTTGTAGAATAAAATTACACTACTCTCTTAAATGTATCAAATTGAAATGAAATAATAGAGCAATTTTTTATTTTGCCTTTTTATTGCATTCTACTCTTATCTAGAGTAGAATGCACAGATCTCCAGTATGCAACTCAATTTTTTTTCAAAGATCCTATTTATTTATTTGTCAGAGAGAGAGAGAGACAGCGGGCACAAGCAGGGGGAGCGGCAGGCAGAGGGAGAAGCGGGCTCCCCACTGAGCAAGGAGCCCAATGTGGGACTCGATCCCAGGACCCTGGGATCATGACCTGAGCTGAAGGAAGCCGCTTAACCGACTGAGCCACGCAGGCACCCCACTCTATCATACTTCTTTTGATCTAAAACATGTATGTAAACTGAAATAGACATTGAAAACTTTTCCTTTGCCCATAGAACTCTAAGTATCTTTCTTTTGGATTGATTTATCATTACAGTGATCACATACACAGTTCATCAAAATAATATGGGTATTTTATACATCTGATAAATAATTACTAAACATAAAAGTAAGATAGTGTGGGAAATGCTTCTCATAATGAGATGGATGGGGATAGTTGATGGCAGTGCTTCTCATACTTTAAGGTACATAGGACCGTCTGGGGATCTTGCTAAAATGCAGATTCTGAATCAGAAATTCTGGGTTGGGGTCTGAGATTCTGCTTTTCTAATCAGCCCACTGGTGATGCTGATGCTGCTGGTCCACAGACCACACTTTGAGTAGCAAGGGTTCAGGATCCCAAAGGAAGATTTGCTAACACCAACATTCTAAATTGTCCATTTTTTTTGGCACCCAGATATTTTGACATTTAAGGGCACTAGGCCATAGTCAGATTCTGGATGAAGAAGTTGGTCTTTCTTCTGCAAAGCAGGAGAAGGACCAATGTGAAGAGGGAAGTGGGGAAGGAGAGCAGTCATGCCATCTAGACTGAGACACATTCTCAGGCAGAGCAGGGAAGAGTGGAAATGGAAACAGGATCTTCAGCTGAATCCCTTGTACTTTTCCTGCCTGTGTACCCCTGGGGAAGGCTTTATGTACCCCAGGGTAGGGCTGCCCCCTGTGAAGTCCACTTCTCTAAAGGATGCTAAGATGGTGTTGGCCATCATTTCCGACAGGATGCCTATTTATGCCGGTGGGATTGGACATGTCAAGGACTGGTTTGAACAATTTCGAGAGTCTACTGGTGGTAAATCCCGACAAGTAAAGTTTGTGGCTGGGCGGCGGATGGCCTTGGATTCCATGCTAAGGAGTTGGGCTTAATACTCAGGCAGAAGGGGGCTGTGGGGTGTTTTGAGCAGGGAGCTGGTGTGAGCAGAGTGCTTTGGGGAGACCCATGTGTTGAGCAGCTTGTGGGATGGTGGGGAAGGAGTTAAAGCAGAGGGCCCGCAGTACACTATGGGCTTGAAGATGAGGTTGGCTGTCATTATTGGGATTTGCCTGTGATTTTTATCTCCACCTCCCCAGTTTTTGAACTTTTGCCCTGGTTGCACAGACCTGGTTTGCTGTCCGTATTTCCTGAAGTGTGGGTGACAGTCCTCTAGGGGTACTTGAGATGTTTATGCCTGGAACTCAAGGTGATTTAACGCAGAACACAGACGTGGCCTTAAGTAACACTGAAACCCATGAGCCCCTGGCATCCCCTTCTCAGCCGCTCTCAGCCCCGAGTGCATCTGGAGAAAGTCTTTAGCGCCCCGCCCCCTCCCATTTTCCTTTTGTTGACAGAGAGCTCAGGGCCTCTGGTAAGCAGTAGTCTCTAGATAGACTTTTACAAACTTTTTGTTTTTGTTGAATTCATTTTCTGTGTCGCAGGATGGCACGTGGTCCTGGTTTTCCCCTCCCTGCAGTGACACAAAGCCATTCGTTTCAAATATGTTCATTTCAGTAGGAAAAGCGAGCCAATTGACTAGATCATATGGAAGAAATAATAATGCTGGCGGCATGTGGATATGACAAAAGCCATGGTGGTGACACGCCATGACTCAAGTTGGGGAAACATTGGGTGAGACCATGTGACAGAAGCCAGCCCATGCTAGATCTCTGTGCCAATGCCGGAGAGGCTCTGGGGGACCAGGGTGGCGGTGGGGAGGGGGGCTGCAGGAATCGCAGTGCCTGAGCCCAGGGGCCCTGGGTCAGCCGGGTGGGTCCCACCGCGGTGCCCACCACAGCCTAACGCCCGCTGCCCCTTGCCTCTGCCCGCAGAGATCCGCACGCAGCTGGTGGAGCAGTTCAAATGCCTGGAGCAGCAGTCCGAGTCCCGCCTGCAGCTGCTCCAGGACCTCCAGGAGTTCTTCCGCCGGAAAGCTGAGATTGAGCTGGAGTACTCCCGCAGCCTGGAGAAGCTGGCCGAGCGGTTCTCCTCCAAGATCCGCAGTTCCCGCGAGCACCAGTTCAAGTGAGGAGGGGACCGGGGCCGGGGCCGAGGGGAGGCAGCAAAGCAGAAAGGAGGCGAAGACTCACTGGAGGCCGACCGGTGTGCTTTTAAGGCCCTGGGAGTGCAGGTTATGGACCCCTGTGCCCGGCTTCTTCCTCCTCCGAAAGTGAGGATAGAGATAGTTCTCACGCATAAGGATGCTGCAGAGAATGAATGAGAAAAGTACTTGTGGCAGACAGGAAATGCTCAGTAAATTGTCCTTGCTGTTGCTATTATCCTACCAAGACCCAGGCATTGCGTTAGTCTTCATTTGGGCTAAGATGACCTCTCCCCTCCTTTCCAGACCTCTGGACCCTTTTATGGGGGGGGGCAGCCAGTCCACTTCCCAATTCCCTCAGCACAGGGATCTCAGAATCTCTTCTCCATGGAACTGATGCTCAATGCACCTTCCTTACACCCCTGGAGGATCGGTGCTGGGGGCTCTTTCTCTGCCTTGTTTATTTATAATACACAAACTCCCTGGGTCCTGATTTCTCACACTCCATACTCTGGGTTTGTGGGCTCGGATCCCCTCAGGCATTGATGTGGGCTGCCTCTGAGTCTTCCAGCAACAAAACCTCTTTGCCCTGAACCCACTGGGGCCAGCCTCCTAAGTGCAGGTAGGAGGTAGCAACCTCACCGGGACAGCGCTCACCGGGCAGGGTGCCACTCTGCGGCTGTCCCTCCCTCTGCCATGCTCCCAGGACCTTCTCCTCCACCTGTCGTCTCTCCAGCCAGTAGCCCTCAACCACAGGGAATCAGCAACTTGCTCCAACCCTCTGACCCACTCCTCCTTCCTCTGGGTGTGATCCTGTTTTTCTCTCTACATTTAAAAAAATTGTGGTAAAACACACCTAATATAAAATCTACCGTCTTAACCATTTTTAAGTGTATAGTTATGTAGTGTGAAGGATACTCACACTGTTGTGCAACCATCACTATAATACACCCCCACAGTGCTTTTCATCTGGCGAATAGGCAACTCCATTCGCATGAAACACTAACTCCCCATTCCCTCCCCCTCGAATCCCTGGCAACCACCATTTGACTTGCTGTATCTATGAATCTCACTACTGTAGGGACCTCAGAGAAGTGAAATCATACAGTAGTTGCCCTTTTGTGTCTGGCTTATTTCACTTAGTATAATGTCCTCTAGCTTTCTCCAAATGGTAGCCTGTGCCCTTTTTAAGGCTGAGTAATATTCCATTGGGTGTATGCAGCACATCGTGTTTATCTGTTCACCTGTCAGTGGACCCTAGCTTGCTTCCACCTTCCTCCCTATATTTTTTTGCCTTCTGCTCTGGCCGGGGAGCGCTCTTCCTTTAAACTCTTGTAAACAACTCCCCTCGTCTGAGCCACAGCATTTGAATACTCACTTTTGTGGAAATCGCTTTATCAAAGAGCAAAAGTTCATTACCTCTTCGTAAATACCACACTTGGTTTTCTACCCAATCTCATTTATTCAAACTTAGCCTGCAGGAGGAAGCTTCTATTGATAACGTCCTCCCAGGCACTGTCTAGGCCCTTCCACACATATAATCTCATTTTTCTGATAGATTTTTTTTTTTTTGAGAAAAGTTTCTTTTTTTTTTCTTTCCAAATGATGAAAGTAAAATGCTCATTGTATATAATTTAGAAAATACAGAAAAATGGGAGGGAAAAAGTCACTCACGCAGTTCTGCCCCTCAGAAGCAAGCGCTGCTCACATTTTGGTGCCTTCTCCGGCCTATCTTTTTGTCATAACAGCAGCAATGACAGTTTACTGAGGGCAGTAGTTGAGCACTTGGGGCCGGGTGGGGGTTACTGCCCTACCTTAAAGCTGAGGACAGTGAAGCTCCGAGAAAGCAGCTTGTCCAGACATGTCTATGGACCAGTCATTGCAAGGAGACAGATTTGAACTGTCATTCTCATTCTGCCTCGTTGGCCTGAGAGAAGAAGGGGCCGGGTGTAGCCTGAGAACGCTCCCCTAAAACCAGAGATACAGACACCCGCAAAGAAACCCTTGTCTCTGGCTGAGCCGTCACTGGAGCCATCCAGGGCTGTGTGGTCAGGTTGTGGCCTCAGCTCCTGCCCGTCTCCTCCCTTCGTATTTTCGGTGTGAACATGAAATGGGGGAGCGTGGGCGGGGGGGTCCCCTGTTCCCTCGCATCGCCTGTAATGAGCTTGGCCAGCCCCTCACGAGTTCATTAACCAGAGGCCACCAGACGGAACAGGAGCTCCAGCTGGTAGTCGGGCCAAGCAGGCTGCGGGAGACGCTATGAAAGTCTAATTGGGGCGTGGGCCCAGGCCAGTGCAGCTGGTATAGGCCCTCTGCACCATGCTAATGTGGCTTTTGGAAGCAGGAGTCTCTAAGGGATGCCTGGACTTGCCCTTTGACCCCAGGGCCAAGCAGTGCTGACCCCTGGCTGCGTCTTTGGAGCTCAGTGAACAGGATCTGTGCTGGGCTCTGGGTCCTTCGTCCTGCTGTCCAGAGAAGGCTTGTCTTGCTGTCTTACAGTTACTTCATTCATTCTCTCTGGCAGGTAGCCTCTCAGGGCCTCGAGGGCAGGGCCCAGATCTGGTTATTTTATTCCCACTGCAGTGGGCCCAGTGCCAGACAGAGATGGGGTATTTGTGGATGAGCAGGAGCAAGGAAGGGAGGAAACGTACTTGGTCTGTAAAACCTACTCTGGCTGAGAGATTTTGTTCAGAGAGGGAATTGAGTTGCCCAACATAGCCCAGCAAGTGAGTGGCCGAGCTGGGATGGCAACTGTCTTAGTTCACTCGGCTGCTGTAACCAAGTACCATAGACCAGGTGGCTTGTCAACCGATTTCTCACTGTGCTAGAAGCTGGAAGTCCACCAGAGCAATCATTTGATAGTTTCTTTCTTTTCTTTTTTTCATGTTTGGTTGTTCCTCTATCTCTCCCGCTAGATGGGAGATCCCACCATGGCAGGAACCACCTGTCTTGTTTCCTACGATAAATCAGGGCCTGGCACTTCGTAGGTACTCAGTAAATACTGGCTAAATAAGCAAATCAACAAATACAGAATATTACGGGCACACAGAGGAAGCACTGGGTCAGACTCAGGCCTTAAACATTGAGGCCTGAAGAGCAAGCAGGTGGCAGAGTTCAAAGGACATGGCCAGAGGGACTGGGTGCCTGCCCCGACTGTACCAACTGTGGGCATGCCCCCTCTCAAGAGAAGGGACAGTATCTGAGAGCAGGGACTGTGTCCTGTTAATCTAGGTGTTTCAGCACACAGCACAGCCCAGGAAAATAAGAGGTCCTCAGTGTGTGTGATATGTGATGGTAGAAAAGAAATAGATGGTGATGGTATCATTCTCCAAATGTTCGACCTGCCCCAGGTAAACCCTCAGAGCCACCACCTGAACCTTTCTCTGAATCATGTGCCACAGGGAGCTCAGCCCCAGTGAGCCTAGCCCTGACAGGGTGCCAGCATGGCTGGGGTCTGGTGAGAGCTCTCTCAGCGTGTAGACCGCTGATTCTCATTGTGTCTTCACGTGGTAGAGAGCAGAGAGAGCAGGCAAGCTCTCTCCTGACTCTTCTAAGGGCACTAATCCCATTCATGAGGGCTCTGCTCAAATCCTAATTACCTGCCAAAGGCCCCGCCACCTGATACCGTCACACTGGGCGTAGGGTTTCAACATACGACTTTTAAGGGGATCCAGATGTTCAGTCCATAACAAGAACTCAGGTCTCTTGATTCTAAGTTCAGTGCTCCTCCATTTGCTCTTTATCTGCTCGGGCAATCAAAAAAATATATATAGCTGCCCAAGGAGGTGCGATGATGGAAATAAATACAATGCAGAATGTTCTGGTTATTTATTCTGTGTAACAGCAATACTTAGTACTAAAACGCAGTACCTCATGGTTTAGTGGGTCAGGAATTTGGACAGGCCTCAGTCGCGTGATTTTTCCACTTTATGGTGCTTTGACTGGGATCACCGAGTGATCTCCAGCTGGTGGCTGGTCTGGGCTGGAGTCCAAGATGGCTTCACCCATGTGCCTGGAGCTTTGGTGGGGATGGCTGCAAGGCTGGGCCCAGCTGGGCTGCCTCCTTCCCTGTGTGGTGTCAGGGCCTCTGTACCTAGCATTTCAGCTGGGTGTCTGACACTGTAGCTCAGGACCCCAAGAGAGCCATGGGAAAGCCCCAGTCTGCAAGGCGAGGTCTGAAACTGGCCCAGCACTGCCTCTCAGCCCAAGCTCCACTTCAAGGAGATAGGAAAGAAAACCCTTCTCCCATCAAAGGACTTGCAGCCCTCTTTGATCCTCCACACTGAGCCAGAACAGCAGTCAGGGAAGGTACCTGGAGGCAGTGGCTTTTAAGCAGAGACCTGAGGGATGAGAAAGGGCAGCCCTGGGGGCAACAGGAGGGGAGGAGAGGCCAGTGGGGCTGGAACCGGTGGTAAGGGAGTGTGGGAAGCCACTGAGGCACTGTAAGTAGGGGCGCGCATGACCCCATTTCTGTTTTTGAAAGCTGACCCTGGGTTGGAGGGGGCACGAGTGGAGCAGGTGGGTGGGATTATTGCTGTGCAGGCGGTGGTGATGATTGCCAGGGGCATGGCAGAGCAGACCAGGAGGGGTGGGCAGTGCTGGGCAGTCTTTCAGAGGCAGGACTGAGGAAAAGAGGAATCAAGAATGTCTTCCCTTTCGGACTTGACAGAAGGTCTTGAGAAGAGTGAGGCAGATGCTGCCATCTTGTGCTGAAATCTCCTGTGTTCTTTTCTGTCCCCCTTCTGACAAGCACTGGGAGATGAGCTCAGAGATGGCAGAGCGGGTGGCTCTTGACCTGGGGTCCTGAACACCCAGCACCAGGTTTGGCATATGGTTGGCACGTACTAACTTGAATGAACGAATGAAGATCAAGTGGTAATTGGAATTGCCCTGGGGTGGGGCTGGTGGGAGGCAAAGGAGGGGGACATCTGTCTTCTGGCTGCCTTAGGAGCTTGGTGGAGCCATTTGGGCAAAGGATCACCCA